GAAAGTGACATTCAATGTGTCATACTTTCTTAAAGGAAGAACTTCTTGTAACCATTTTGTTTTCATGTATATATTTGGCAAGATAAGCAGGGTTGAAGTATCATGCATGCAAGTTTTCAGTCAGGCATGACTGAACATATTTAGTCCAGACAGGACAATACTGTTCATGGTTGTTTGATGTCAAGAATAAAAGACTGGTATAAGGTGCAACATCTGAGGGTTTTATGAAGAATCTGATGAAAAAAAGCAAACTGGACACATGCTAATTTAGATGTCATTGCTACAGGCAATCAGAGAGACTTTTTACAGGCATATTAAAAGGCATATGGTACACATGCGACTAATGGCCACGACTATTACAAAACCAGAAGTAGTCCAGAGTTGGTGCATAGCTGTCCAATGCACTACTGTGACATTTGCACTGATGTGCCCAGAATTGTCACATGCCGAATTGAAGACTTACAGTCTCCCAGATCACTTATTCTGCGATGGAAAATGGATAGTATCAACTTATGCAAATAGCCGCAAGGTCTGCGTTGCTGATTTCACTGCAGTGATGTCAATACAAATTCACAAGTTTAAAATGCACAAAAAATGTACTATTCTTTTCTTAATGTAATAAAAACAATGACACTGAAATGCTTGGAAATGAACACCAAGAGTTCAAGAACAAGAAATCTTGGCTTAGTCTAGCTGAGAGGCTGAGATAATTCTGTCTCTGGAGGAAATGTAAGTCAAGCAATGTAGCTGCTAGCAGTGCATGCAGCCCCGCTCTAGTACCTGCTTCTGAACACGCAGGCGGCATCCCTGGGAACTCCATTCCCGCTCTGCCATGCTTCAGTGAGCAGTTGACTCTTGCTGTCCAAAAGCAGAGGGCAAATATAAAAGAAAGAAGGAAGAGAAGGAGGTAGATGAATGGACAGATATTGTGTGGTTATATCTGATTTTTTCCTGTGAATATTGTATATGGACCATCATAGTAAAATTATCAAACAGAGAGAAAGACAGGTTAATGAAATAATTTTCTTTTTTAAAACATAGCAAGAGAAGGGAAAGGGGTACAAGGAGTAAGAGATGGAGATTTTTCAGCAGCCACAATTCTTTACAGAGATGTGAGAACTGTAGCTGCAGATGAAATGATTTGAGAAGTGATTAGTGTGCATGTGTATGTGTGTATTCTGTGCAGTATCTAAACATCAGTACATGACAGTACTGAAGAGATGCTTTTTACTAGGCAAAATTGTGAAGGTTCTAAAATGAGTACTATGATCAACCTGCAGTATTTTGTGGTTGCATTACATAAAGAACATTATAGAAAAATACCTTCCTTTTTCCCCCTGTTCAGTTTTCAAGGTGATATTGGTTAAAAAAATATCATATAGTTCCCCACAGCAGTCTTCTGCAAAGCTGACAACAGCTTTGAAAATTGTGTCACTCAGTGGTTTACGTGACAAAGATATCATAGACTGAAGCTGTCCCCATATATCCCAGTCACTTGATTCAAGTTTTAACATTCTGCTTTCAGTTCTTGTAAGTACTTACTCTGAACACATTTACAGACACTTTGAAATAACAAGGTGCTAGCCTTCTGGCCTCAGAAACACAGACTGATAGTAAGAAAGGAAAACTCAGCTGGACAGGTAGTCATCCTCATCTGGTATTGTGTAACCTGCTTTTTCTGCTATGAGCAGCAGGACTCAATTTTCTAAAATTTAGTTCAAGACAGTAACGGAGAATGCTTCTATGCCCCACAAATCTCAGCTAACAGAGATCATTACCTGCCACTACCACTGCCACCTTCCTGCACGGTGAAAGATGAGGTAAGGGCATCAGAAAAGATTACAGTGTATTATGGTTTCTTAAAGTAATAGTTAAGTTCCAATAGCCTGAGCATCTGTAGCTATTGTAACAGATGGTGGTGGTTGTTTGTGTTCTGAATGTGCACAGACTTGCAAGTAAGTTTAAATAGCAAAAGTAGAGATGATTGATTCTTGACAACCAAAAGGAAATAAATTAATCAGAAGGTGTTTCTGCTGGTGGAAGTGAAGATACAGTGTGCAGACTGTGATGCACATAGTTCAGTGAGGGAACTAACAAAGTAAAAGAAACTTTAGAGTAGGAGTTCCGTGGTAGTATACAGTAACCTTATCTTCCCTGTTCTGAAGGAAAACACCATGGCATAAATAACATTATCACATGCACTTATAGTTCCTGGTTTTTTAAAAGGAGTATAATAGTTTTTGTCTTAAAAATATACTTTAGGTGATAAAATTTTATTATGGGTTATTATTTTCTACAGAGAAGATGGATAATAAATATAAAAGGAATCATAAACCTGTGAAGAGAGCAATGAGAACTTTGATACTGTTCCTCTATTTTTCAGTTGTCTCTGTGAAAACAGTGTAAGTTATCATCTTCAGCCAAATTCTTCACTTCATAGATTCTCCATTTTTCCCAGAGGTTTCCTTGACAACTCCCCACAATGGCAAGAAGTCAACATTTCTACTTCGAAAATCCATCAAAAAGCCTTCATCTCAGTTCAAGCCAAGAGGTGATAAAATTTTTGAACTATAAACTGAGAAGAGCTTTGGAGAAGAGCATGGAGACAGTCATGGATAAATTGGGACTAGAGCTGTGGCTCTACGTTCTGTGTAAATCCGTAGGTCAAAGAAAGCTCTGTGTAATACATCAGCTTGGCACAAAATACAAGAGTAGCTCAAAATATATATATGCCAGGTGGAACCTGAAAAAACATTTATCTAAGTCCAACAGGCTCTGTGGATGTATTAGCTGCAATGCACTGTTGGATGCACAAAATGAAATACAGGCATTGCAATGAACTTGCTACACAAACTTATATTAGACCATCCAAGTAAAGTCAAAATGTCTCGCAATTAAAATCACAAATACAGATTTTATATTGTTCTTTAATGAAATATTTATTATTTAATAAGCTACAAATACGTTACACAAATTTCATGTTGAATGCTGACGAGCAAGACTCCTTCTGTCATTTTCTTTTGTTCTTAAAATAATACTTAATTTGAGCTTAGACCAAATGAGCAGAGATTTGGTGATCTGGAAGAGAGAGAAAGTGATTTGTTACTTCCATATTCATTTGTACAATGGTCATGTAAGATTGTGAAATATTACACTTTTCAATTTGATTTTGGTTGTGATTTTTCTCACTGACCTCAGTAGCTGGAAAAATAGTCGATAGCTAAGCATGATGCTGAGAGTTTCAAGTTTCCTTACTAAAAGCCCACCCAAAAGATCAATAAGAATAGACAAAATACAAGCAGATATTAAAGGAAAACACAATGCAAAAATCAAAGTGGAGCAAAGGTTGTTGGGTAAGTACATGCCTCACACTTTGAAAATTACATTGAAAGAGAAAGGAAACAAGGAAACAGGAATGGGAAAAGAAAAACACTACAGTAAAAGACAAAATGAAAAAGGGTTGGGGAAAAAGAAAACACCGATTTTGTTAAAGTGTGGAGAGAGACAAGACTATCTGCAAAGAAACACAGTTTCCACATGGAAACACTTTTTTTTGGTGAACTTTCTGATATAATCTGGTAGTGTAAATTTGCAGATACAGTTAGAACAAAATACTAATGTTTCTGCCTTTTTAGCCTGCTGCTCTTACTCCTGAGATTCCCTCTTCATGGATCCTTGACAAAGTGATGAAAATACTGCAGTCCTGTCCTTCACAAACACAGAAGGACAGACCACTGAAGTGTTTTAGAGAACCACATTGTGCAGTGACTATGAAACACTCAACATATTACACACACATAAAATGCTGTACCTTGACTGATCTGCTGCAATCTCATGTAGTACCCTGCAGATGTCGTTCAGGACACTCCTCCTTTCTGTGGTTTCCAAATGCTCTTGACTGTCATTCCTCTTCTTCAGATTTTCTCTTTCATGTTAGTTAATGTTCCGTACTGCATTTTCACACAAATTCAAAGGCTGGCCTTTAGGTTTTGATTACACAATAGCGTATAACACGGTAGATGCAATGTCAGTGTCATCATATCCTGAATACAGTCTTGAAAGCTAGTATGGATGGCTTGACGCTGAGTCAGCATGTTCCTGGTGTCCCCAGCAAGCTGAGGAACACAAAGACAACCCATTCTGGCATCTTCTGAGCAAGACCTCTACAGAGGGCATGGGAGAAGGTAACAGGTATTCAGAAAGTGCAGAGAGACTCCTCACTGTGATTTTTTGCTTGCCCTGAGGTAGCATTTGGAGAAGAGGACACCATGATGCTCAGCACTATACGAATGTAACAAAATGTTCAATAAAGGTTATATAAGCCTGTGCAAAGGTGATGGAGCCCAACATGTATTTTGCAAGAAAATTAATGAAGAGGTGCAGTACTGGGCAAAGCACTCAAAATTTTATAATTACTGAAATGCTAACAGGTTAATGAGCTCACCAGGGGAGAGAAGCCTTCAGTGAAACCTGCAATAGATGCCATAATATACACAGAGAAAATTGTTGCATTTAAATCAGCCCAGCTGAGAAAGTAACACAGACAGACTTTACAACAGCTACCAAATTTCCTAGGAATGACTGATGTGCAAAACAAGCTAACCTGTCCCGGAAAGCCATTCTCTGCAAAAGACAGATGTTAGGGATCACTGCACATGCTCAACCATCATCATGCTTGCAGAAACAACACTAGTTAATTCAAAGTGATCTACCAACTTCCTCGTGAAATGAAAATGAATGTAAAATTACAACGAAATGTAAAATTGGTTTTAGAGCCTTTCTTCTGTGAAGAAACATGGTCTTCACAAATAATTTTCACATAGCATTGTATTCATTAAGATCAAATATTTCTTCAGTTGTATTTCTTAAGGTGGCTAAAGCTTTGGAATCAACCAAAGCAGGATGACTCTTTTCTGTAGTACAGTAAACCCAGCCAAGCCTATAAGATCAGCAGTCTATCACAGCTGATTTTTACATATGCTCTGCAAGCATAATCTCACCTGTCATGGTGTCTTTCCTAGAAGTGTGTTCTCCCTTATTTCCATGGTAAGTGGCGTTTGTTCCAGTTGATTCATAGTCTGTTTTTCTTTCTTTTAGGCTGATCATTTCCCGAGGTGAGGCTGGGGCACTTGCTAGATCACAAAAATGGATTTATTTTTTCTTACCACGTATGACCGAATGTAGTGTTTAGCTCTAGAGTAAACATTTTAGTAAAGTTTATATTTGTTAGCATACTAACATTAAGCTGTTTGAAGAAACACTACCACATTATGAAGGAAAAGAAAAGGTGCTGTTATTTCAAGTACAGGACAAATGTATTCATGGGACAATCAACTCCAAACATAATTATCTCTTTGAATGCTTTACTTTTTTCACATACACGCAACGTCTAAGATGATCATTACAAAAAAAGTAAATAATAATAAATTTTTTTCCCCTTTAGCTTTTCACCTTCTTTAACTCATCAAAACTTTCTGGTATAGGCACTTCAACTTTTTTCTCAAAATGGTTAATATATTTCTGTTGAAAAGACTGTTAAATTTCAACTGTGTGGAAAAACCCTTATAAAATGGTTTCTTCCCTTCTGTGCTGAAAATAAACAAACCAATGAAATGAGTCTAATGGAGATGGGAAGAAAGGTGTTTTTCATAGAAAACATACAGCAAAGAATGCCTAACACTTAAAGGTAATTCAAACAATTTCTCTGTCTTTAAATATCTATGTATGAACAATTGCTGTTAAAACAATTGCTACTTTAAGATATTATTAAAACTAAATCCTTCATCACCTGTACTTGTGGTATGGCTAAAAGGAAGAAAGTACAAGGTGCCTAGGAGGAGAACTGGGTTTGTACTTGACTCTCATGCACCAGAAAATGTGAAGGTGATCACTGGCACTGATCATGAAGACTTAGAGCTTGTGATGCTTAGGAAAAGGAGAAAAGCAGAGGAAAAAATAATGGCTTTCAAGTAAACTGACTTCAGTATATTTAGGTGTCAGTAGATACAATGCACTTTCCCTGTTGTGGAGAGCAAGGGAAGGAGTGCAAGGTGAGAGGCAGAGCACCCTAGAGCCTCGTGAAGCCACAGTGGTACAAAAATAACTAAAGTACTGGTGCTTACTTCCACACCCTCTCTGCCTCCACCCAGATATTTGATATGTTAAAAGAACCTCAAAATCAGCAACAATGTCCTTGCTTAAAAAGAAGGAAAAAAAAATTTTAAAAATGTAAGACAAGCACATTTGTGAAGCTTGATCTTGAGTTATATCTTTCAGCATCTATGAGCTATGTTACATTTTTTAGTTAAGGAGTAGGGAAGCACTTGTACTTAACTAAGGAGCAGGGAAGCACAAGTGATGTTGAATTCTGCTTGGATTGGTTCTGCTGGCCCTGGCCTCTGAATTTACAGAGCAAATGCAGGACAGATGGTTTTTCTTATGAAGCCATTAGAATTGCGATTGCTTTTAAATTGCTTGTCAATAGTGATGTAATTCTAAAGCTGATAATATAGCAGATATCAAGAAACATGACAATAAATTACCAAAACACCTAATGGCAACTTGAGTCTAATAGGGAACAAAACACAAAAAGTTGCTAACACAGGGATGGATTTTGTTTCACGTACCCTGGTAATGCTGTTAAGCGCTCTGGTGTTTTGAACAAAATTGATTGATAAAGACAAAACCATCTCTCTCTGTTCCCTCTGGGAATTATCCCTCTCCTCCCATGTGAGAACAATTGCTTCTGGTAAGTATTAAAATCCAGAAGCACCCTCTGTCAGAGTTTTTACTGGAAGCAGACATAAAATCATTGGTTGACATTAGACTGAAAAGTGATATCAAGGTTTTCTGCTCTTAGTATTAAAGGACACAGAAAAGAAGACGGAGTTCTCTATGCTACTTAAGCATCTTATCACCAAGTCCTAGGGAAGGATGGGACCTTGTGAGTTTATTTACTTCAACTCTTTACTCCAAGGTAGGATCCAGTATAACAAAATAATTCTTGACAGATTTTCATCTAAAACTAAAGATCTCTAATGACAGAGATCACATAACTGCTCCAAGCAGTCTGTTCCAGTGCTTTGTTTCTCTACTGTTAGGAAATGTCCCCTAGTCAGTCTAGCCTGACTCCTTGCTGCTCATTATTTCCATTTGTCTCCTATGAAAGCAGAGAAAGTTCATGCCGTTCCTCTTCACAGCTGGCTGTTACGTGCTTGAATACTTGGTGCGCACCTCTTCCCAGTGCCCCCATCTTGTGTCTCTCTTATTCGAGTTAAACAATTACAGTCCATTCAGCGTGTCCTCATATCCTGATTTCTCCATCTCCTGATGCATGTGTGCAACTGACAAAAATCCCTAAATAATTTCTAAAGAACTTCTGTCTAGCCAGATATTCTCTGTATAATTTATTTGTAAAGGATTGGATTTTTTTTTCCCTTTGGACAGTATCTCCAATTTCTCAGGATCACTCTGAATTCCAATAATGCCCTTTAAGGTACACGAGCTTCTCCCAGGTTTATGTCACTCACAAAGGTAACAGGCATCCTTTGTATATTATTTGGGTCATTAATGAAATCACTGAAGAGTACTGGGCCCAAGGCAAACCTCCAAGCAAAGTATTCTTCCATTTTGGCAACAAGCAATACCCATTCTTTGTGAATGGTTTCAGTCAGTTTTGTATTTACCACACAGGACATTTTCTGGACTGTTTGCTAGCTTGCCTTAGCTTGCCTATAAAAATCTTCTATGAGAAAGTCTTACTGATTACAGTAGATTTAATTTACTGACTCTTCTTTCCACAAAGTGCTTTAACTACATTGAAGCAGGAATTCAGATAGATTTTGTAAGAACAAATCATATTAAACCAATGTTTGGATTTGATATGGATACTACCAGATAGACAGTAACTTACACTACTATGTAGAAATAGATACTCCTAGAGTTAAGCAGTACCTTATATTCCTACTATCTTTGAGGTGCTCAGATTGTGATTATTTGTTCCAGCGGTTTTCTAGAATGAAGTTGAGCTGACTGGTCTGTAATTACATGGGTTCCTCTTCCTTCAGAAATAGCCACTATGTTTGTCCTTTTCCAGTCTTATGATAACTGATGATGGTAGTTAAGATTTCATCCAAAATTTCTTTAAGTATGTTTTTTAAGCAATAGAGTAACAGAAGTGAGGAGACAGTTCTGCCAAGAGACAGAACTAAGATCTCAGGGCCAGACATCTCAAGTGCCTTGCACTGACAATCAAAATGAGATTTTGGAGAAGAAAAAAAGAACAAGAGCCCTTTATGAACTTCTGTAATGACAGATTTTGAAAACTGAATAGCAGCTCTCACTGTACTTCTGGCTACATTTTCAAATTTCCTCAGTGGTTGTTCTGTTGTACTAAGATGCAGCTTCTAGATAATTAACAAAACAATTTTCTTAAAAAAACCAAACTATGGCACAATGCTGATGGAAATAATCAGTTTGGCCAATTTTAATCCTAAACTCTTGGTATACCTATGGAATGACAGCATTTGATTGAACAAGTAGTAAAAAGCACATTGAAAGGTTGACTGTTTTACTCTGTTTATCTTAGATTTTCACTGGGAATGGTTTTATCTAACCAAGGTATGTTCTACCTTAGAATACGCTGAGGGGAAAATGCTAGATTTCTGAAGAGAAAAATTAATTAACACTGTGGCATAAGTTGAGATACTTACATTAACTCATTGTATGGATCATACAGAATTAATGATAGCTGGTGTAAATATGCCATCAACGTCACAAGACCTGTAGTCAATCTTTTGTGAAACTTTCATAATGCATGTGTATACACACTTACATATACATACACATATAATCAGAATAAAAGCTGACAAAGAATGTGGATCATTCAACTTCTGCTAAGTGTGCAGAGTGGCCATAAACAACACAGCGGTTTTCATGACTGGCAAAGTGAGTAACAGGATTTCCTCATGCTACTAATGGACACCATTGCCCTGAGATCTAGTCAGGTAATCCCAATCAGGAAAACATTGCATGAGAATTCATAACAAAAAGTTATGGAATATTCTTTCTGCTTTAAAACGTTACAAGGTGTTAATAAAAAAATAATTCCCATTTTGAACAGATAATTCAGGTAAGAGTAAACAATACATTTCTTGCCCTTCTGCCATTGTTAACAACAAATCCAGATGCCAGTGACACCGCTTAAAGAAGGAAAATGACAGTGATGGATTACCTCTGCCTTTACTTCAGTCCTGAAAGCCTGGTCTTACCTGAGCGGTTGTTAGGAGACATGCGCACGGGAGAGATGGAGGGCGTGCGTGACGAAGAGTACGGTCTTTGCCGATCTCTTTCTATTGTTGAAGATGAGGCTACAAAGTGATACTGTGACCATCCATCCTGCAACATCAAGCATTGTGACAGAAGTCAGTGAAAATGCCACACAGTTCCCCATTTTAAGTACAGAGTATTTTCCTCTAGTGTATTCACTATGTACACACAAGTAGGCTACTATCTTTTTCCTGCCACTGGGTGGCAAATATTCTTAGCGGTGCAGGATAAAATGTGCTGACTGTACTGACACACCAGGAGAAAAATTAAAATGCAGAAAGTTCTATAAAATAACACATTTCAGAAAGACTCAAATTATGAAAACAACTTTTTAGGCCATTTGTTTAATAGTTCTGTCTTTTTCCAAGCCTGTATTTTCACATTGCAAATGACATTCTGACTATGAAAATATTCCAAATCATAAGACTGCCTGTTTTCATGGTGAAATTCAGTTTTTGCTTTAAATCATTTCTATCTTATAAAGAAATTTTGGAGTAAGTAGATGGGGAAGCTCCAGGATTATCAAAATTATTGCAACTATTTACGTATCTATAGTCTAGTTATATTAACTGCCCATTTGCTCACATGTGAGGAGAAAAAAGCATGAATACATTTTCCTCGTTGCATTTTTCTCCAAGACATACAGAAAGAAATTCTATTCCTTCTATTTAAAGCTGTGGTAATGGTGAGGTATTTAAAAAAAAGAAACAAAGTAATACAAGCACTAGAAACAGCGAGTTCAGAAATAAAAAAGGAGAGTTTAAATCATTCATGTTTTGTTCCTGTACCATAATATAATGCAATAATACAAAATAATGTACTTTACATTTTTGAAAGGATATTAAAAACAGTTCGAAAGTATCATGAGAGAATAAATTCACTTTCGCTAGTTCTCTTATTAAACAACACTATTTCAAGTGTCTGAAAGTACTGATTTTAACTGTCTTTATCACTGCTTAATGTTAAATCTAAATCAGTAACACAGAGTTTTCCCAGTCTTGCACTGAAGGCCTAAGCCTTTTAAAAATGCCTACGTTCAGATGGGCTCAGTGGAAATTGAGTCAAGCACCTGGCATGGTGCTAAACAAAATTTCTGCAATGAAAAGCTGAATAAAAATAAACACAATAAAATATTACCAAAACTCAGCTGGAATTTTCCTCTTGCTTACAGAAAAATAATTCTCCATTGGGGAAGTAAAGAATATTCTGACCCCCTACCTCAGGCTACTCCAGCCATCCAATCCTGAATCCCACTCCCTCCCATCCTCTGCCTTTGCCCAAGGCATCTCTCTGTTACCTCCACAGAAACCATGGGCACCTGGCACTTGGAATTGCAACAGAAAATAGTTTGAAAATCCCCCTTCCACTAAACTTTTAGGAAAGAGAACTCAGCAACAGTGTGACACAGCAGGAGGAAAGAATATACTCATACTTGATGTAGAGTGAAATGTTGTAAGTAAATTAGGACAGACAGAGGTGACACCTAACTACAGATTCTGAATGTCCGTACTCCTTACATAACGCATTTGTATAAACATGCGTGTATTTGAGTCATAATTTCAAAGGGAAAAAAAAAATAGAAGAGACAAGTCTGGGCCATGGCTTTCACAGTAGATTCATGACTTCCCCTAGGGTCGATAGTGAGCATTTGTTCACAGAGGTCACTCATGTTTAGGACACTTCACTGAACTGCACCTCATATTTCATGACAGTCATGTAAAAAAATACAAGGAAGAAAAACAGTTAATTAATAAAAAATAGTAAGAGTAACTTGAAAAAGGAAATAGTTAACTTTTAATACCACTTGCTTACACCAAAATTTTCTATATCAAATCTTTCATTTCCAACAAGCAGCTTCTAAACAAGCCACGTCCTCCAACCTAGATGGAGGATCAATGACAATGCAAACAAAAGCATATGCAAAGCCCTAACATCTTACTGCTAAATAAAAATTGGAAATTGTTAGAAACTTTTCGATACATATACAAATACATAATACGTATATATACATAAAAACATATGTATTTCGTTAAGAAGAACTAATATAGTTTATAATAGCTATAAACTTTTACAATGAATAACTTATGTCCAATAATCTTATCCAAGCATCAGACTGTAAATACTACTACTTGGCATTATTTTTACATCTCCTGTTAATAATAACTTGCACGGTGAATTCTCTACTATACAAATGAAGTAGTAAACATGCGAGAAGCCCATGCCTTTATACTGCTGAAGAAACATGGT